CCCCAAAACCCCAAAACCCCAAAACCCCAAAACCCCAAAACCCCAGTCAAGAATAAGTTATTGAAATTGTTAGAACTTGCTTGGAACTTATACAAATCATCTTAGAACAACTGTGATAAGAAGGTTGAGTTATCAACACCCTTCCTTCTGTTGAGAATCTTGAAGATGAGCTTGCTCAGGACTGAAAAGTCAGCTTTAATGTCATTGATTTCTCTGAAAATGGTCTTAGGAATAAAGGAGTCTTCCTCTTTAATTTCCTCATCTTCCATTACAAGCTCTTGAGTCTGCTTCATTGTAGCTGCTTCGACGATGAGTTTGCATTGCATGCTAAAGCGCATGACTAAGTGAGAAATATCCTGCATGATTTTGATGATCTTCTCCATAGATAAGAAGAACTTACTAGAAAGTGTCGAGAGGTAGTTCTCATGTAACTTCCTTGCCTCCTCAAAGTCCTGGCATTTCTCAATTCCAGTACTAAGCTTGAACCATTGAGTCTCAATCACATCAAGCTGGAGGTATGACATGATGTTGTTGATGAAGTTATTTAACCTTGCTCTCATCGCCATCACGAAACGCATCTGTTCTTCATCGAATACATCATAGATTCTCTTCAGGTTGTTCCAGTCATTTTGGAGGTCTATCTGAACTCTTCTCAACGGAAACAGGAACCTGAACAATCTATTGTAGTTCTCAAGGATAGTTGGGGACAGGAACAGATGAATAGGCCACTGTGCTTTGTATTCTAGTGATAGCCCACTCCAAGAGTCTTTACTAAAACTTTGGGTTGAGCTCATTAAGGACCAATTAAAAATTTCAGTAATGTTATTAGTCAGGAAAGTTTCTTGAGCAATTCCTATATAACAAGATCCGTTATCAAGCTCAATAGAATCTTCAATCCTGATTGGGGTGCTTAGAACAGGATCTTGAGAGTATTGATCAATGTAGACCTTCAGTACATCTTTTTCAAATTCAATTTTTACTGAGTGTTGCTCTCCATCGATTATATCCACATCATAAGGTAAATCAACTTGATCAACAAGTCTTGTGTTGTCTCTGTTCGGGGAATTATTGGTTAATGGATTATCAAAATTTCCAAAAGGATCTTTGCTTGTAGCCCAAACTGAAACAGAATTCGTGATCGAAAGCTGACCTCTGAATTTGCTACTATAAACAGAAACTCCTCCATTATCTCCAGTTGGGTAAAATGTCGAGTTAAATTTAATAGCAATATATTCTTGAAGATCTTTGGTCGAGATTGGAGCAGAATATTTACTAGCGATTACATCTTTTTGGGCCTGAAGTATGACTACAAGAGAAACAGATAATGGGTTGATTTCATTGATTTCTCCCCCAATGGATACTCTATCAGTTTGCTGGGCTCCTGCGCCGTCAGCTCCTCCTAAATTTCCATGCATTGACATTCTAAGATTTGGGTAATCATCGTGCAACTAAAAATAATGAATTAGGCTTACTCCTCCACTGATACGATTTGTGCTCTGCATGATATGATCCCTATCACCCCCTGGGCCAGTCTTTCTGGGAGTTTCTGCGAACCCAAAAGGAGAAGAACTCATCATTGACATATTATTTACATTATCTCCTCCATAACTATTCAGGACAATATGGTTTTTGATTTTGAAGTTAAAGTTGGTTTTAAACCCTGTATCTATTTTCTGCTTGAAACTATGCCAAATAGCTCCAGATCTTCTGGATTTCCTAGTAGCCGCTATTTTCAGGTACTTTGTTCCTCTATTTTGAAACACAGCTCCTGGACAACTGAGATGATCTCTAGTTCTGAAATCTTTGAAGTTAAATGAGAATGATCTCATTCTGAATTTGAACTTCTTGAAGATCTCATCATCTTCTTTTCCTAGTATATTTTTAGTCTTCATATAAGGGCCAAGGTTAATCTCATAATCTGCCTTTGCCGTTGGGGGAAGTGACATCAGACTTCTTGACTCTTCAACAAAGAAATGAAAGAACTCTCCATTTCCGAGGAGGAAGAAGTCCTTCATGTTCTGGAGGTGGGTGAGTAAGTCACCTTTTACCACAACTAAGTTCCATAATTTCTTAGCAACACAATCTCCGATCACTTGGATGACCTTACTGAAGAGAGGTAGGTTGAACTCCTTGATACTTTGGAGTTTGGAAATTGCAGCAGAGAAGGCTTTGAGATCTTCAACCTGAATCCTGTCTTCCTCACCGGTCTTGTTACTTTGAAGCATCCTGACCGCTTTGCCAATAAAGAGAATTTTATCAGCAAGTTTAGATGGGAAATACGAATGGGGAAGCATGCTGAGCCTTAAAGTGAATAAGTTGTTCCACTCCTTCTCATCTTCTTGTAAATTCTTTCCTAATACTGCTTTGATTCTGTAGAAAGTAGCATTAGATCCTACAGACATCACACTAGCGTTGGAGCCATCTTTCATAGTCCTTGAGGCATCTATCTTTGATTGTCCCTCTGGAGCTTCTTCTCCTTTATCAATCATATGAATGAAGAATTCGTCACTTATATCAAGGAGCTGACCATGGACAATCCAAGCATTGATTTGATGATACAAAACTTTGTTGCAGAAAAATAGGATTTTTGTGAACATTGATTTGATTATGGGATTTCCAACATTACAATTTTGATAGACTAGATCAAGTAATTGACCTCCTTTAAGCTCTTGGCTCTCAATTTCATAAATACACCCTGTAAGTGATGGCAATAGCTGGTAGAAAAGGGATAACTTCTGGCTGAGATGAGTGATATTAAGACTATCATTAACAAAATATTCATGCTCAATTGCTAGTATATGCTCTTTATACAGATTTAGGACTTCTTGAACACCAGCACAGAAAGATTTCACATATACGCTAGTGACTTCTATCTCTTCATCATCATTATCATCTTTGAGGTCCTCCATTCATAAAAGGAAGGGGATTTGGGAATTTAGTCCGCTATTTCTCTTGACAAAATCTGTGATTTGCTTGTAGTAAATTCCAAGGATGACTACTTTATTAACCTGTTCTACCTCAGCTTCTGTAAGGAACTCAATAGAGTTGCTGACCTTAAATTGGCCTTCTTCTTCAACAATGATATTACCAGTATGGCCTATCAGGGCTAGGAGGATCTCATGCAACATTTTTGTTAGCAAGATTCAATTAATTTAAATATTTCAGGGGTTTTGGGGTTTTGGGGTTTTGGGGTTTTGGGG